TAAAGACCTGCTATGTTAAAGATGACTGATCGTCCCTTATTGTTACAATGTTCATAGCGAACACGTGTGGAGGCGAGTTTCAGGTGAAGCATCTCCATCACACAAGTTTACCCTTACCTGGCAGCATCGTGGCAGTTCGCTGGTCACACTCACTACGTTACACTCACGAGCTGTAGGGGCGGGGCTCTGTCTGCTCAGTGGCGCTGTTTTCATTCATTTAGCACCACGAGCGGGGAGTCTCATCCCTGTAGTTCCCTGTTGAGGTGGCGCATTCCTACCACGTTTCCCCTAAATTATTTGTACGACACAATATAAAAACAATTTGTTTGTTCCAATGCATAATCATACACGAGTACACATATACACTCCCATGTACACACACCCACACACGAGTGGACATACACAAAAGTACAGATCCATGTACATACAAACAGTAGTATACTTGTGTAATGCGGGCATAAACGGCCTCGCGGATATGACGTCACGGGGGGAGGAGTTAGGTCACGTGAGAGAGAGGGATGAGGTCTTAAGGGAGAGATACCGGAAGAAACGGGAGAGTGTTGGGAATAGAGACAGAGTGAGGCCACACAGTGCGGAGGTTGGAGAGTGGCGAGATCGCCACACACAGTAAGACTCGGCACCGTCGGCCAGCGGTGACGAGCACGGGGGAACAGGGAGCAGCGGTGGAGCTGCAGTGAGAGCAGCCGGAGGACTGCACAGCGGAGCTACAGGAGCGCGAAAGGCTACGTGAGCGAAGGCAGCTGTCGAGCTGCTAAGCGGGGAGGCTCTGAGCGAGGGCCGTGTGGGACAAGTGTAAAGAACCCAAATAAAGGACAACGGAGACAGACCCAGTGAACGAGTCCTTTATTACACTTGCAAGCAATTCAACGTTATGTTGTGTCATCATGGGTTTATTTCACAAAGTTTAAAGTGCCAGCAACAACAATGGTATTGAACCTTATTCTTTACAGGAGTGGCTCTGGGTGGACATGCCACCACAAAGCAGCACGCGGCGGAGGAGGGAGGTGATCGCTCTCGCCATGCGAGCAAGGCCCCCTCGCTTCCTCTTCTTTCCCTGCATCACCACCTCCACCACCTGCACCTCCTCCACCTCCTGCTTTGTCTCGTCCTCCATCTCCTCCTCTTCATCCTCCACCACCATCTTCTCTCCATTCTCTGTCTTCTCCATTCCCTCCTCCTGTTCCTCCTCAACCTCTTCCTCCACCTTCTCCTCTTCCTGTTCCACCTCTGTCTTCTTATCCATCTTCTCTGCTTGGAAGCCCTCTTCTCCAAAGCTTGGAGCAATCGGGCCCTGTACAGGAGTCTCAGAGGTGGATGCGGTGGCGGTGGTGGTTGCAGCGGTGGTGGTGGTGGCGGCGGTGGTAGTGGTGGCGGCGGCGGTGTCGGTGGCGGCGGTGGTGGCGGTGGTGGTGGCGGCGGTGGTGGCGGCGGTGGTGGTTACTGCGGTGGTGGTGGTGGCGGCGGTGGTGGTGATGGCAGTGGTGGAGGTGGCAGTGGTGGCGGAGGGTTTTGTGGCAGTGGCGGCAACAGCGTCAGTGGCAGTGGTGGCGGTGGATGCGGTGGCGGCAGTTGTGGCGTTGGCGGTGGTGGCTGTGGTGGCGGTGGTGACGGCGGTCGTGGCGGTGGTGGCGGTGGTGGTGGCGGCGGGTTTTGTGGCAGTGGCGGCAACAGCATCAGTGGCAGTGGGGGTGGTGGTGGCGGTGGTGGTGGCAGTGGTGGCAGTGGTGGTGGTGGCGGTGGTGGTGGCAGGGGTGGGGGTGGAGTTGCCGGCGGTAGCGGTGGTGGTGATGGTTGCAATGCTGGCAAGGCGCTGCTCCTGCTCAAGGCGCTTCTCCTCCTCGACGCGTTTCACGTTGGCGAGACACTTCTCCTCCTCCTCCAGATTCTTCTCCTCAGGACACATCATCTCGAGATGATGCTTCTCATCAATGAAGTACTTCACTTGAATGAGGCGCTTCTTGAGGAGATAGTCTCGGAAGTACTTCTCATCTGTGCGGCACTTCGCCCTGGCAATGCGCTGCACCTCAAAGAGGCGCTCCTCTTCCATGGTGCATCTTTCTTTGCTAAGGTTCTTTTCCTGGAGATGCTTCATCCCGCTGACGTCCTTCAACTCCCCAATTATCCTCTGATCAAGCAAAGATAAGCAAAAGAACATTCAGACATGCACATGCAAGAAAACATTCATACCCACAGGCACGCAAACGTGGACGTGCACATAAACCCAAACAAAAAAACATACTCACACATGTATGTACAGATGCAGCCATCCACATTCAGTCATTCAAACTTGCTTAGTACACACTTGAATATACACTATCACCTGCTGTTAACACAATGCCTTATCCATCAATACTTGTATCACATTGTACGTGTAGTACTAACCCCTAAATATCCCAACTCCTATAGAATGAAAATACATGTCACATCCTCATATATCCCCATAAACCCCATGCATGCACTCAAGACTTTGCTCGATTGTGGCGGTTTCATAGCAATTGTTGGCAATAATCATCACTGGCAATAGTTTTCACAGAATGTCCCATTATAAATATCTGGAAGCCCAAACTCTGGACAAACTTCACTGCAGCGCCCATAGTTTGGAACTGGAATGGTAACTTCCAATCAAATCACAGACATAATTAATGTGACTGCCTGATATCATTCTGTCTTCATTGGTAATAAATGGCCACTTCAAGTGCCTGCATGAGCGGGACGGTGAAGAGATGCGGTGATGGTGTCGGGACATGGTGTTGCGATATGGAGAGGAGAAGTAGTGGAATGTTCTAGAGAGATGGTGTATTGTGATGGTATAGAGGCATGATGAGGCTCTAATATGGTGTATTGAATTGGTGGTCGTGTAGTGTGATGAGAAGGTAATGGGGAGAGTTGATGTCGTGATATTTTGGTGTGCTGGTGAGGTGACATGGTGTGCTCGTTGTCGAGAGAATGTCGTGTGTTTTAACCCCACAGACCCCATACACATCGTGCTCTCTTTTAGCCCCGCCCCCCCTCCCAATACGTTCCATTCATTGGCTACCACATTCTGATAAGCTCCTCCCCCCTCCTCCCTCCTTAACTTGTATTTAAGAACTTGCATCTTGGAATCCCTGCCTCACTTGATAAAGCAAATTCAGCTGTGACGGTCCCACCTGGGACGGAGACTTGTGTTGCCTCCGAAACGTCGTGATTTTTATTATTTTATTTTTATTAATTTTTATTTCATTTTATACCTACGTGACTTTACCGAAATAACTAAGAGTATGAATCCTTGCAGTCACGAAAGCTTCAAATCTAGAACCCATACACACCTTTGGGGAGCGATTCTTGTAACTTTGGCCTGGGAAAGGGTCCACCTTATCCATAACGTCCCCCCACGTGGTCGACTGGCACGCCGACTCCCGGGCTATGAAGAACAGAAAATGCATTCAAAGTACGAGTTATTAATTAGAGAACGAAGGACATGGAGTCTCACAGAACTAATTTTGAGATCCCAGTAATTACCGCTTACCACACAACAGGACCTGCTATTGAAAAATAGTCATCACATGGCAGTAAAACTTTACAAGTCATGTTTTTGTCGGCAATCTCAATTTTGGAGCTTTCGTGACTGGAGGAATTATTCTTTGGTTCTTTAGGTTAAGTCACGTATAAAGATAAAATAATAAATTAAATAATAGCATACTACGACGTTTCGATTGCAACACAAGCAATCATCATCAGGTATAAAATAAATAGCAACAAAAATCTAACCAGAAAACTATAGACAGACACACAAGCAGACAGACATCACAAAGACACGCAGAGAGAGAACACGTATTGGCAGAAAGAGAGAGGTCGTCTCTGTGACGAGGCCTTAAATATACAGAGGGGGCGGGGGCGGAGAGATCGTAAATTACATAAGCTTGAGACCCCAGTTTGAACAAAGATGGCAACAACTCAAATATAAACCCATCCTCTTTGCCACACTCGATCATTACGTCTTCCCACTACCACCAAGCCATGTCTACGAAAAGTAATTCATCAAGGAGTCTCCTCCTCCGCATATAATCCATGTGATGCAGGTATCTGGGACTTACCCTCATATTCATCCAAGATCTCAGCCCACGTGATTTGTCTGTCCATGTTGTTGGGAACGAGTAGATTTTGTTTGAAGTTGGATGGCCTGGGGCGGTTGGAACAACGCTCAGATTTAGCAAACTTTTGAATCACTCATCCTCCTAATTAATACATATTTGACCACTCATTGTATCAATCCAATCACTATCGTGACTATACTCTTAGGTTTTTTTCGGTAAAGTCACGTAGGTAAAAATAGATAAATAATAAAAATAATTAATGATAAAAATATAAATAATAATAGAAATAAAATAATATATCACGACGTTTCGGAGGTAACACAAGCTTCCTTCATCAGGTGTAAAAAGGCACAGCAAAATAACTGTAGTTAGGTGTAAAAAGGCAAAATAACTACAGTTATGTTACAGTTATTCTACAGTTATTTTGCTGTGCCTTTTTACACCTGATGAAGGAAGCTTGTGTTGCCTCCGAAACGTCGTGAGTTATTCTTTTTTATTCATATTATTATAAATATTGTAAAAGCTATTTTTTTTTCCCTACGTGACTTTACCGAAAAAAAACCTAAGAGTATGAATCCTTGCAGTCACGAAAGCTTCAAAACTAAAACACTATCGTGACTTTTGTTGTTGCTGCTAATCCTACATAATGCAATGGCATAATATGACTTTGAGACCCCCCCCCCCCACCTCCTACGCATTTCACAAGTAGTGACTAATCCCATATATACATTTTCCATAAATATGCTAAATTCATCTGTTGATATGCAAATACCTTTGTCAAGGCGCCCTTCCCACTCTAACCCAGCTTAAATATACGCTGCCAAGCTTGGTGGTGTTCATTCAGACGCTGTCTTTTCGACAGCCCTATTCTTCACCTGAGGACGGCTGCTTGCATTGTGGCCGAAACGTCGTGAGCATTGTATTTTATTATGTTTTATTTTTATCATTTTATTATTTTCTTTCTACGTGACTTTACCGATAGAATCAAGAAGACTATCGTGACTGTTGCTTTAAAAGCCCACTCACTCGCTTGTTTTCCCACTCATGTGTGCGCCCGATCACTCACTCATCCACCCACACGAACATGTTTATTTCAACTGCCTATTCCATTAAACATAATCACCAGACTTAACAATGATATTTCACCTCTAATCCCGACATGCATGTTCATGTACAGCCCATTTGTATTAATCGACTGCTTGATAGAGGACCCATATGCCTTGTGGGTCATTAGGGTCATATGACCATACTTTAATTATTTGTTATAATACGAGCATGACGTCGTAGGTCACTTGATGTCAGAGGTACCACCCATGTGGCTGTGACATCACAGATTGGAGGCAACTATGGCAGTGGCTAGGGTCTGAACTTAAAGGCAGACTCCTCATATGTTGAATAACATTCAATACATGTAATGTAGGGCACAATTGTACCAGCAATCAGAACACAATAATTGTATACATGTTATTAATATTCTATGAGATTTAAACGGATTAGTTAAGCTTGTTTTAAATGCTGACTCGCTTGGGGTCTAAACAACGACAGTAACAGCAACATTTCAGAGAATGCCAAGTATCCTATCTAACAGTTCTAATTAGAATTTTTAATTAAAGCTTTCGTGACTGCAGGGATTCATATTCTTGGTTCTTTCAGTGAAGTCACATAGAAGGGAAACAATAAAATAATAAAAATATAAAACAATAAAATTATCACGACGTTTCGACTGCAACACAAGCAATCGTCATCAGGTGTGAAATCAACAGCAAGACAATTTGAAAAAAGTGGCGTTTTTTTCTAATTTGATTGCTGAAAATTGAATTATGAACATATAAAAGTAATGAAGCTTTAGTTTGTGGTCGAAATGTAAAATCAACAGGGTCGCTCACCTCGTTGAGGATTCGCTCTCAAAAGGCTTCTGCTGCTCCCTCGTGTGCATTCCTCTCGACTGTGGGTGGAGGCGTGGCTGTGACGTAACAGAGGTGACGTCACTAGGGCGAGGCTCCGCCCCCCACGATCCCGGCTGGCGCATCACGTGGTGCAGTGCTGGTTGTGCGCGGGACCGGAAACAGCAGGGCTTGGGTTCGACTTCAGACTCCGTGGTCTACACAGCGAGGGTGAGTGAATGGGTGAGTGGGTGAGAGATTGAGTGAGTGGGTGAGAGGGTGGGTGAGTGAGTGAATCGGTGAGTGGGTGAGAGATTAGGTGAGTGGGTGAGAGATTAGGTGAGTGGGTGAGAGATTGAGTGAGTGGGTGCGTGGGTGGGTGAGAGATTGAGTGAATGGGTGAGTGGGTGGGTGAGTGGGTGAGTGAGTGAGTGGGTGAGTGAGTGGGTGGGTGGGTGAGAGATTGAGTGAATGGGTGAGTGGGTGAGAGATTGAGTGAGTGGGTGGGTGAGTGAATGGGTGAGTGGGTGAGTGAATGGGTGAGTGGGTGAGTGAGTGGGTGAGTGAATGGGTGAGTGAATGGGTGAGTGGGTGAGTGAGTGGGGTGAGTGAATGGGTGAGTGGGTGAGTGAATGGGTGAGTGGGTGAGTGAATGGGTGAGTGGGTGGGTGAGAGATTGAGTGTGTGGGTGAGAGATTGAGTGAGTGATTAGGTGAGAGAGTGAGTGAGGGGGTGGGTGAGTGGGTGAGAGATTGAGTGAGTGGGTGCGTGGGTGGGTGAGAGATTGAGTGAATGGGTGAGTGGGTGGGTGAGTGGGTGAGTGAGTGAGTGAGTGAGTGGGTGAGTGAGTGGGTGGGTCGGTGAGTGGGTGAGTGAATGGGTGAGTGGGTGAGAGATTGAGTGAGTGGGTGGGTGAGTGAATGGGTGAGTGGGTGAGTGAATGGGTGAGTGGGTGAGTGAGTGGGTGAGTGAGTGAATGGGTGAGTGAATGGGTGAGTGGGTGAGTGAGTGGGTGAGTGAATGGGTGAGTGGGTGAGTGAATGGGTGAGTGGGTGGGTGAGTGAATGGGTGAGTGGGTGAGTGAATGGGTGAGTGAATGGGTGAGTGAATGGGTGAGTGGGTGAGTGAGTGGGTGAGTGAATGGGTGAGTGGGTGAGTGAATGGGTGAGTGGGTGGGTGAGTGAATGGGTGAGTGGGTGAGTGAATGGGTGAGTGGGTGAGTGAGTGGGTGAGTGAATGGGTGAGTGCGTGAGTGAATGGGTGAGTGGGTGGGTGAGAGATTGAGTGTGTGGGTGAGAGATTGAGTGAGTGATTAGGTGAGAGAGTGAGTGAGTGGGTGGGTGAGTGGGTGAGAGATTGAGTGAGTGGGTGAGTGAGTGAATGGGTGAGTGGGTGAGTGAATGGGTGAGTGGGTGAGTGAGTGGGTGAGTGAATGGGTGAGTGAATGGGTGAGTGGGTGAGTGATTGGGTGAGTGAATGGGTGAGTGGGTGGGTGAGTGGGTGAGTGAATGGGTGGGTGAGTGGGTGAGTGGGTGAGTGAGTGGGTGAGTGGGTGAGAGATTAGCGAGTGGGTGAGTGGGTGAGAGATTGAGTGAGTGGGTGAGAGATTGATTGAGTGGGTGTGAGTGAATAAGTGTGTGTGAGATTGAGTGCGTTAGAGCTTGAGTGAGTGTGGCAGAGTGAGTCAGTGAGTGTGATAGAATGAGACAGTGAGTTAGTGAGAGACAGTGAGTTAGTGAGAGACAGTGAGTTAGTGAGAGACAGTGAGTGAGTGAGAGACAGTGAGTTAGTGAGAGACAGTGAGTTAGTGAGAGACAGTGACTTAGTGAGAGACAGTGAGTTAGTGATAGACATTGAGTTAGTGAGAAAGAGAGAGTGTGGCAGAGTGTGTGGCAGAGTGAGAGTGTGCAGTTCGTGTTTTGTCGAGAAAGTGTGGCGAGTGTGTGTGCGTTGTGTAGCTGTGTTTACATCGTGTACGTAGTGTTTGTAGTCTCTAATCAGTCTAAATTACGCTACAGAAATTCAACATTTGCACCCTTGCTTTGTGCTCTTTGATGTCGCCATTCCTGCGACGAGGACAGAAGGGAGGCCTGGCCGTTAGGCCTGCCATACACCTCGGCCTCAGGCTTCATATTCATTATTTTTTATGTTTGTATAATTTGAATTATGAACTTGTATTCCATTCATTAAATTGCAAGCGTATAAACACCATCTTGTTGGTTTATTTACTATTAAATTAATGGTTTTCTTAATCTATGTAGTTATGTTTAAGTGAGTGAGGTGGTAGTACTAAGTGTGAATTTGAGTTACATGTAAATTATTGTGCAATGGATTTGTCTGTGTGCACCTAGCCTGGCACGGACAATATGGACTATGTTATTATTAAGTCGTGAAAGAGATTGTTTATTTGTGTGTCTGTTATGTTTGTGTCAATTTACATATCTATATTTATAGCTGTGTTAATTTGATGGGTGGTGGTGATGGATAGGTGCGAGTTTTAACTTTAAAATGCTTGCAGATTAATAAAGATCTGCTTTGTTTTTAAAGATGACTGATCATACGTTATTGCAACCATATCCTTCCTTTAAAAAACACGGACGAGGAGACATTCACACACGAGTGTGCATGTGTTTCTACGAGTTTTAACGTTAATATACTTGCAGAACAATAAAGACCTGATATGTTAAAGATGACTGATCGTCCCTTATTGCTACAATGTTCATAGCGAACACGTGTGGAGGCGAGTTTCAGGTGAAGCATCTCCATCACACAAGTTTACCCTTACCTGGCAGCATCGTGGCAGTCCGCTGGTCACACTCACTACGTCACACTCACGAGCTGTAGGGGCGGGGCTCTGTCTGCTCAGTGGCGCTGTTTTCATTCATTTAGCACCACGAGCGGGGAGTCTCATTCCTGTAGTTTTTTGTTGTGGTGGCGCATTCCTACCACGTTGCCTCTAAATTCTTTGTCTGACGTACAAAGGGATTGCGTTCTACTACACAAACAAATGTGCGAACAAATTATTGTACATACCTATACACACACGTTCACGCATGTACATATCCACATCAACGAGTGTAAATAAACACACGACTGGACATACACAGAAGTACAGATCCATGTACATACAAACAGTATTTTTTTTTTTCACGAGCCCCTGTTGTTTGGTATTCCCCAGCCACGAGTAAAGTTCGGAAAAAAGAATCTGCTACCTCATCGTCGGTGCCGGACGGTAACGCTGCGGTGGATGTGAGCAATGTCCTGGAGGGAAGTCTCGTAGCCACCACAGAGGCCCACGAGGTCTCTGGACGGGTGCGAGGCGCTGGTAACCTCTCCATATTGAATGAAATGACCATAAAAAACACGACCAAAATATAAACACATACACACGAGTTTAACACGTAGGATTTCGGGACCAATAGCATCCATAATAGAGGTTGTTAGGTTAGATCGCTGAAGTATATAAATGTGTATTTAAATTAAAACATTAAATACATGCATGCCGACAAAGGGCTGCGTACTTCATTAGAGCGCAGCTGCGTGGTCAACACATCTATGCTTCTATATAAGGAACGAAACAGTGAGACTTCACAAATCTGGCTGTCGACTGATGAAGCTAGTTTTAATTACAGGCGAAACGTCGTACTCAGATTGTAAATGTTGTGGCTTGGCTCTCCAACACACCGGTGTGCTGTACTAGTGAAACATTTGCATTTTCTGTTTACGTGACAATCCTTACTAGTTGGCTTTGTCGGGTGGTGGCGGGTTTCAACGACACGTTTATATATTTAAGCGATCTAACCCAAAAAAACATTAATATGGACATGATAATAAACCAAGCTTACATGCTAACCCATTCAGATGATTATTCAAAGTTCATGGCAGAAATTATAATATAAAACACTCGTTTTCTAGAAGCACCCCGCTCAACACGATTGTCCTTAAATATATTTATAAAACAAAATCAGTACAGTATAAATTTGCACATCTTATTCCAAATCAAGCTCGAGATCACAAATTTTGATACTTCAGACTGTATGTCGCTTTATAATCCTCTAAACTTGCAGCAGTTTAGAGGACATTGGGGGGTGAATATTTGCATATTAACACTAAGCACGGAATTATGCATGGAGATGCACATCCTTATTCAAACGGAAGTGTACAATTATGCGTGAGATGTACATACGTATTATGTTGCTGGATATGCGGATTGTTAACGTAAAAATTAACAATTTAATGCAAAGTCCATAATAGTCCAAGTTGTGAACAAAAGATTTGGATGCTAGAGCGAAGATATAAGGGGCTTAAAATCAGAACTCAAGGTCATTTCGAGAGGGATTTTGCTGAGCATAGACGCTCGACTCCTCGCTCTGCAGATAACCCTTCTTCCACGAGACCCAGCCTGGCGAGCACGATTGCTTGGCGACTGGTTGGCGACTTCGCGTCGGGAGAGTTCGTGGCGATCTCTTCAGACGGGTTACAGGGACATCGATACGCCGTGCATCCACAAGTAAGTGTCTTTGTTAGTGGATAAACTGGTAATCGCGTGTGTAGTCCGACTTCCGAGACGTTACTGTGTATCAGTTAGACATTGGTAAAAAGTTAGCTTCTTGGCGATTTGAGCCAGACATCCACGCAGCTTAAAGGGTGCATTTTACTCTAAAAAACACCCGCGACTGTCACTGAAGAATCAGTCACATGGAGCAGATTACCTTTCCACAGCGCCACACACACACGGGTGATAAGCCATTCAATTGCTCTGTTTGTGTGAAGGCGTTTGCATGTAAAGCATATCTTCACAAGCACCAGAAAACTCACACGGGTGAGAATCCATTCAATTGCTCTGTGTGTGGGAAGTCATTTACAGATTCATCAACTCTTCGCAATCACCAAAACACACACACGGGCGAGAAGCCATTCAAGTGCTCTGTGTGTGGGAAGGCATTTGCACAAAAATCAACTCTTAGCAGACACCAGAAAACACACTCGGGTGAGAAGCCATTCAATTGCGCTGTGTGCGATAAGGCATTCTCACTGAAACAAAGTCTTCAAAGTCAACAGAAAACACACACGGGTGAGA